CTTCCTACTGTTTCTGAGGCTTACCTCCAGGAGAAAAGCATCTGGGTTGTAAACACCTTGAGAGAAGGAACTGCAACTTTATCATCTTTTGTGTACTCTTCCCCCAGCCCAGGAAATATGTGGCTGGCACACAGTGGGCCATCATATGTAAAAGTAGAACTAACTCCAGATAGGGTCATTGGAGCAGGGTATAACATGGCACCAGGCTGCTCTAATTAGTTTTCACTTGATGCTAATCAACTCCTGCCCAGGAGCCAGCTGGATAAAGAGTAGGTTAGTGGTTGTGGAAGGATTCCTCAAAATAAGCAGGCTTCTGGGGCAGTTTTCATTCCACGTTGCACTGGGTAATCACCTGGGGAGGTTTTTGGGGCAGGGGAAGATAGCCAGGATGCATGCATCCCAGACAAATGAAGTTGGCGTCTCTGGGAGTGGGGCCAAGCATCAGCAGTGTTTAAAGGTGATTCCAATGTCCAGTTAAGGTTGAGAGCCAGTGTTCTGGGCTGGTCTTTTTTTAGCATAATTAGTAGTTTGTAATATGCAGAATTTCAGGCCCCACCCCACACCCACCTTTTCTGCATTTTTAGCAAGAGCTTTAGGTGACTCATATATGTGTTAAAGTTTGGGAAGCACAAGTGTAGAAAACAGACTTTGGAGTCAGCTGAATCTTGGTTCTAATCCTGGCTGCACCCTTTCGCAGATATTAGGCAAGATACTTAAACTAGGTAAATCTCAGTTGAATAAACTACGACAGGTTCACACAATGGAGCACTATGCAGCCATAAAAAGGAAATTTGTAGTATCTTTAGATACTATGGAGTGATTCCCACAGCATTTTAACTGGGAAAAAAAAAAGCAAAAGTATAGATATATATTGTTTTAACAGAAAAAAATTTATATGGGCTTTGGGGAAAAATTAAATAATATATAGAAAGCAATGAACATGTTTCTGTAGATAGTGAAGTGCTTAACAAATATCAACTATTGTTATTCCTCTGTTCATGCAGTTACTAGTGGGTAGCTCAGAGAAACGATGTGAATGCCATGGCTCTGTGGTTTCGACAAGGCACTTAGAGAAATCTCATGCTACCAGGACACAAAAGAAAAATGTGGGCTGCTTAACCTTTTGTTATGGGAAGCTTCAGAAATGTACAAATGTCAAATACCAATGAACCCGCACTTTCTGATAACCCTACTTCATAGTCTTTCTTGTTTCATCTTTACCTTCACCCCTTCCATGCCTCACTGGATTATTTTGAAGTGAATTTCAGATATATTACTCTTCATCAGAAATATGTAAATCCCAGACATATCACTTTTCATCAGAAATACTTTAATATAGGGGAGATAAATTGTAATGGGAAATAATACAATAAAAAATAAACTTTTAAAAAAAGGAGAAAAAAAGAAATACTTTAATATGTACCTATAAAAGATGAGGATTCTTTTTGTAACACTCCCACAGAACCATTTTAACACCTAAAAATTAATCATAATTTCCTAACATCATTAAATACTGGTCAGTGTTTAAATTTCCCTGTCAATCTTTTTTTTACAATTGTTTTGTTCAAGGTAGTATCCAAACAAGGTCAACATATATTTTATTGCATCATCTCTTAAATCTTTAATTTATAGGTTTATCCTCTTTTTATCTTCCCTTGCAATATATTTATTGGATAAACAAGGTTGTTTGCCCTGAAGAATTTCCTACATTCAGGATTTCGATGACTTTGTTCTTGTAGTTTAATGTGTTCTTTTGTCCTTTATATTTCTGTATACTGATAGTTAGATGTGGAGGCTTGATTAGATTCAGGTTTGTTTTCTTTAAAAGAATTTTTCAGCCCTGAATGGTGTGGCTCAGTGGATTGAGTGCTGGCCTGCGAACCAAAGTGTCGATGGTCCAATTCCCAGTCAGGGCACATGTCTGGGTTGTGGACCAGGTCCCCAGAAGGAGAGTATGAGAGGCAACCACACACTGATGTTTCTCTCCCTCCCTTTCCCATTCTAAATATAAATAAAAATTAAAAATATTTTTTTCATAGGTGATGCTATCATTACTATTTATCTCACGAGGAAAACAGGAAAATCCTACTTCATAACGTTAACTGTATATTTGTATTCTTATCTCTTTTTGAGATGATAAATAAGATTGGTCGATTGGTCGAGGGATCATGATATTGATTCATCCATAATAAAGTTCTCCATCAGCTTTTCACCTACTGGTTATAGCAACTATTCATGATATTGACTAATGATTACATAGTCAAAAATTGTGATACTCTAATTTTATTGTTTCTTCTGCATTTAATAACTGTAAAACTCTAATCACAAAGAACCTTTTCCTCATCAATTCTTTGGTATCCTGAAGTACGACTTATATAGGAAAGCAGAGCTCCCTGTCTGGTGGTTTACTTCTTCCAGTCAACATGCCGACTTTAGAAGCTCCAGAAGAGAGGCTGAGAAAATTTAGATACCGAGGCAAAGATGCATCTATGAGGCAACATCAGCGAATAGCAGTCAGCCTGCAGCTCCAGAAGGCCAAGAAAGATGAGCAGGTCTTAGAAGAAACATCACCAATCTCTTCACTGACTCAGTTTCTAAAGAAGGGACCAACGAGGTCAACCTCACCCTGCAAGAACTAATCAACGGTGTGAATGCCTCAGATCCAGTTCTATGTTTACAGGCCACCCAGGCAGCCAGGAGAATACTGTTCCGGGAAAGGAACCCTCCTCTAAAACTGACTGTCGAAGCGGGGCTCATTCCCAGGCTGGTGGGGTTCCTGAGGTCCTCTCGCCACCCCTACTTGCAGTTTGAGGCAGCCTGGGCTCTGACGAATATCGCTTCAGGGACTTCGAGCAGATTTGCGCAGTCGTGGAAGCGGGCGCCATCCAGCCCTTGGTTGAACTCCTGTCTTCCCCGCACATGACTGTGTGTGAGCAGGCAGTGCGGGCCCTTGGCAATATAGCAGGTGATGGCCCAGAATTTAGAGACTTTATTATCTCAAGCAATGCCATCCCACAACTGCTGGCCTTGATCTCATCAAACATACCAATCACATTTCTGCGGAACATCACATGGACCCTGTCCAACCTGTGCCAAAACAAGAACCCGTACCCCTGCAAAAAGGCAGTGAAGAAAATGTTGCCCATCCTCTTCCACTTCCTGCAGCACAAGACAGCAAGGTGCTCTCTGACACCTGCTGGGCCCTGACCTACCTCACTGAGGGCTGCAATGAGCGCATTGGTCAATGGTTGACGTGGGGGTGCTGCTCAGACTGGTTGAGCTCATGACCAGCTCAGAACTGAACGTCTTGACCCCCTCTCTCCGCACCGTGGGGAACATTGTCATGGGAACGGACCGCCAGACACAGGTGACCATGGACGCTGGCGTCCTGAGCGCACTGCCCCAGCTTCTGCTGCACCCCAGGCCCTCCGTCCAAAAGGAGGCGGCCTGGGCCCCGAGCAACGTGGCCGCGGGACCCCCCCAGCACCTCTAGCAGCTTATTGCCTGCAACATCCTGCCTCCCCTGGTGGCCCTGCTGAAAAATGGAGATTTTTAAGTCCAGAAAGAGGCTCTCTGGATGGTGGCTAACTTCGCGACTGGGAGCATCATGGACCAGTTAATCCAGCTCATCCACTGTGGAGTCTTGGAGCCCCTGGTGAACCTGCTCACCACCCCAGACATCAAGTTTGTTATCATAATCCTCGATATCATCTCGTTTCTCCTCCAGGCAACAGAGAAGCTCTACGAGAAGGAATCCCTGTGTATTCTGATCGAGGAACTTGGTGGGCTTGATAGAATCAAGGCTTTGCAATTTCACGACAACCATCAGGGGCCCTGACGGCTCAGGGCGTTATTGAGAACCACTTTTCTGAGGAAGAAGAAAATGGCATAGTATCGCCCTCTCCAGATCAAGATCCTGAATTCTTAAAGCTCTTAACATAAAAATACCAAAGCTCCACAACTGCTAAACCAAGGACCAAACCCCAAAGGGCGAATTCTTTAAGCAGCAGCATTCCTACGTATTGGTATACCCCGGGTATAAAGCTTTTAAAATGGAACATTAATAAAATTTTTGACACTTTCAAAAAAAAAAACAGAAAGGCAATATTGATTATTTTCATTGACCAGTTTCAGAATGAATTGTTTTCCTAGCATCCTCTAAAGCACCTAATGAATATTTTCTTTTTAGTATTATTATGAACTTAAGCATGGCAGAAACATATTTGATGAATTTCAGTCCTGTTTGATGTTCAAGGTGCCCCATATTTGGCCAATGGAAGCTTTGCAGATTGATTCCTTAGTCATTTAAACATGACTCTAGTAGTCTTAAGTAGCTTCTTTTTTTCTTTGATAGTGCAAGAGTTTCCAACCTCAACTCTGTAAATTTCCTGCCCAGATCTTGAATCAGCAATTTCTCCAAGGAGTAACTGCTCCTTTTCAGTGAGCAATGGTATTTAAAGGCCACTAGAAGTGCTCATTGCTACTGGGTTGTTCATTGTTTCCGGGCTCTTCTGGGAGGTAGAACTAAAAAAAATAATTTTTATTTATTTTTAAAAAGATTGTATTTATTTATTTTTAGACAGAAGGGAAGAGAGGGAGAAAGAGAGGGAGAGAAACATCAATGTGTGGTTTTCTCTCACATGCCCTCCCCTGGGGACCTGGCCTGCATCCCAGGCATGTGCCCTGACTGAGAATCAAACCAACAACTCTTTGGTTCACAGGATGGTGCCCGATCCACTGAGCCATACCATCCAGGGCCAAAATACATTTTTTAAAGAGAAAACTAGATCATGAATTTATTTTCCATTTATTTTTAAGGTTACAGAGTTTTCACTTAATTTTTTCATGTAATATTTCTCTTTTACCTGAAAATCTAAGTTCTTAATAACATTCACTATGTTTTTGCTTTATCATTAAATACATAGATAATAGTTTCAGAATAATAATACCAATAATATTATCAACATGATTACTAAATACTAAGATTTATTTGAGTGCCTCCTTGCCAAATGCATTTGATAGTAGCTGACTCTTGCAAGCTCTGAGTAAATAGCCTGTTTTCTTTTGGATGATCTCAGTTTATTTTCCTGTCTCCAACAGGAAGTCCAGAAACAAACTGAACATATGTGTGAAACCAAAACCCAAATCAGGAGGTAGAGTCACCCCCTACCAATGTCCCTTCCAGTTGTATTGTCACTGGGTTGTGCCACCACATATTGGTTAATCTTTAAACTTCTACTTTCTTACAGTCTCTCCAATACATCCTCTGACAAAAAGCAGGCTGAACTTGTCAAGAAAAGGTAGAAATCCCAAGGCTAGCTAAGCCTGTGGGAGGAGGCAGATAAAGAACCCAGGGACCCAAGAAACCAGTCCATGCCAGAAAAATCCAAAATAGCACCTGAAACCCCTTTCCAAGTGACCTTTTGATGAACTTTTCTTAATTAGCATATTGAAAATAACTCTTAGAAGTGGAGATCTAACATTAAAATGAGACATGAGATATATGGCTAGGCATGGCCCAAGCATGTTTGAGGACTGGACATGCTCCCTTGTAAATCGAGAACCCTCCGCCCTTCCTCAAAAATCCCCACTCTTGAACCTGCCTACTTCCCCCAAGACCCTTTAATACTTTCCTAATTCCCCAGAATCAGGAAGGAGGAATCATTAGAGCATTCAATTATCCTTCTCTATTTCTTGGCCAAGGAATAAAGTTTCTGACTTGCTTTACCGAATACTATCTCATCCTTTTTTTTTTTTTTCAGTGACACTTATCCTTACTTTAATATTTTTTGTCTTTTTCTGCTTTTTAAACGAGCTCTCAATTACAAAATATCAAACTACACTCAGAACTGCCAGCCACGGCACAGTGCAGAGAAGCCCACGAACAGGGACAGACAGCGGTAGCAGGTGGCCAGAGGCGGGGAGTGGGTGAAGCAGTGGTTAACAAACGTTCACGGGAAGCTAAAACTATCCAACAGGCTGTGCCCTAATTTAGCACAGGTTACACTAGTCACTACCTTGGTGGGTGGCCTTGGTGTGTTTGGGTTCAGATTCTACGTGACAATACCATTTCCTCCAGGTAAGAGTTCTTGGCTTGCACCGATCACAGGGTGGCTGGAGGGCACCGGACCAGCCTATTAGTTTTTCAAAATGCTGTAGTAGACCTGATAGATGTACTGAGAGACTTCAGGAGCTCTGCACTTCAGCAACAGTGTGTAATTGAGGTTTCCTGGCTGGATGCACAGCTCAGCCAAGATCCAAATGCCGTTGGTGAGCTTCAGAGACTGGTATAGCATGTCTTGCCCTTCCACGTTTCTCTTGGCAATAGTATAAACGTTGTTGTTTTGCAGCTTGCTGGAAACAGTGTCAGCATTTACATGACATTCCTTAATCTGAAACTGAAGTTCATTTTCATTGGAAATATCCTTCCACGTCGCGAGGAAGACCTGGCGCTCCCTTTTGCTGTCTTCTACAAAAAGCACATTGAGTGGGATGAGGCAGCTGAACTAGAAGACATCAATATTGTTTTTCACAGCCACCTGAAGGTTATTCAGAGGTTCCATCTTCATGACTAGGCCCAAGGTGTTGAGAGGCAGGGAGACCTTGATGCTCTGGTTTGGCATCAGCGGGGTGTGGATGGCCAGGGGAGAGCTGGGGATGACACCGAAGCTATTCTTGTTAAACTGGATCGCGAAGTCTGTCATGTGCTGTAGAGCTTTGTTGGTGAAGTTCATTTCCATATAGATGTGCCCCTGACGATGAGTAAATGTTCCGGAAATCTCCAATATTTTAGCCTTCACTGCAGGCGGCCAGACAGCCTTAGGAGCCATGTATCCACCATGGGCCTATCCCGGTGGAGAGTTCAAACAGATCGTTCAGGCCGCTGCTGACCACAGCAGGGGTAGGGGAAGGAGCAAAGGTTGCAGGCACCGATGACGGGATGAAGGACTGTCCCACTGCCGGACTTCCTCCAATGCCCCTGCCAAGGTCACTGCCAAGCAGACTATCTAGTCCTCCTCCCAAGAGATCCACTGCTCCCACCTGCATGGAGGATACCTGTGGCACATTGACTGGGGGACCGAGGTCAGGTTTAAAAGGTCTCCCAGAAGGTCACCTTGAGAGGGAATAACCTGAGGCTGCTCCAGGTTGGTGGCAGTGGTGGTACCAACAGGGCTGTCACCAGCATCAGTGCTCCCATGATGTATTGGCAAGTGTTTGCGATGGATTCCGTGACTTCCTTCCACAAAAGCATTGGGAGGCTTGTGGTACACAGAGGCCAAAGAACCAATGAGGCAGATTAGCTCATCCAGCAGAGTTGGCTCAATGAGATCTGCCTCCTCAGAGATCAGTGGCTTCTCAGACAAGACTACTTCTTTGGCTGTGACAGGGTCCGTTGAGAGAAGCCACCATAAATATACCCCTATCTCAAAGGTCAAGATTATCAGAATCCTGTGATGCCAAGCTCAAGACCTGTCGCACCAGCTCCTGTGTTTCCGACGGCTTCTTGAGGAACAGCTTCACGATGGCTGTGAGCAGAGTGAGCTGCACCTGGGTGCTTTCATCATGAAAACCCTCCAGGAAGCTCTCTAGTAACTCATCTGCATTGTCAATTCGTTCAGCATATTCTCCCACAATCCAAATCATAGCTGCTCGAGCATCTGGCTCATCCAGCGAGTCTAGGTTCTCACAGAGAGTGGCAATGATACTTTCATATGTGTTGGGGTACTTGCGGAAGATGTCCCTGATGACGACGATTGCCTCTTGGACCCCATAATTTACTTTGGTCTGGATGAGATCAAGCAACATGCTTACACAACGTTCTGCAGATTGCTCCACCTTGATGGCACACCGTCCAATGGCCTGCACAGCTTTGCGAACGAAGTCAACATCCACCTCTGTGGCACATTCCTTCAGTTCGGCCAGAACCTGAGCAATATTGGCTTGGGATGCTAAATGAATCATGGTGTCCAACTTCTCTAATTTAACATAGATGGGATCATTATACTTCACAAAGAAGACTTTGATTTCCTGCTTTAATATTTCAGGCCTTCTCTGAACAATTAGGTTGATGTTCCTCAGGGCGACGTACTGCACCTCTGGCTCCCCCGAGAGGAAAGTGACGAGCGGAGGGGCCAACTTCTTCAGCAGCACATTGTAGCAGTCAGAGTCCTTGGGTAACAACTCCAGAAATTTCATCAGGACTTTTGCTGCTGAAAGCACCACTGCTGAGTTGGCATGAGACAGCCGGGGAGTCACCCGCTCACAGATGCTCTGAGCCTCTCGGTCATCTTTAGGGTTATTATTGGACAGGCGGTCCAGGATGAAAATCTGGCCCCATTCAGTGCACTCATTCAGGGCTGTCAGCAGCTTATTAATGTTCTGGGGGTTCAGGTCGAGTGAGTTGCTGTTTGGGTGAGATTCGCTGATTTCAGATAACGCTGCTACAGCATTAGCCACCACCATTGGATTGGAATCTGCTATGAGATCCTGCAGAGAATCCAGAAATCCCTGATCTTCCACCATCTGGGCATTGATATCGTGGAGTTTCGCCACACAGACTGCTGCTGTTTTCTGAACATAGGGATCTTCATCCTTCAAGCACTTGCAGAGGGGCTCACAGAGATATTCTGTGATCTTGTCCACCCAGATGCACCCCATGGTTCTGACTGCCAAGGCCCGAATCAGAGGATTGGGATCTTCACAGTCCTTCACAAAGCTTGACAGCCATGATGGCCATGTCTGGCTGACTCTTGGCATAGTTCATCAGGTAGAGGTACACGAGCTTCTTCAGTTCCAGGTTGTCAGTCTGCATACAGTTCACTACATCTGGAAAGAGAGAGCTCACGTCCTTCCCCACAGTCATAGCGGTGATCACTTTCTTCACAGCCTCCTTTCTCTTTTCTTTCTTTTCATTGTTGAGTTCAGCCTTTAATTCAAAGATTTCTTCTTTTTTATTGGTTGTGAAGTACTTGGAGTCAGTCATGGTGTTGGCTCTTTAACTTGTACCAGAGGCAAGGACGGGGGTGGCGGTAGCAGCCAGAGAGCACGGCCCGAGTGGTGTTGTAATGGTTTCCTGCACGTCACGACTCCTTTTCCAGGTCTAAACCACTCCTATCTCATCCTAGTGATGTGACACCAGACAGAATGACATCGTAGGGTCCCTGACCTGCAGGGGTTGGTGACACTATCTCTCCTAATGTAACCATTCTGACTTTCAATGCCATGGATCAGTTTTGCTTATTTCTGTACTTACTATATGAATAGAATTGTACAGTGAGCATATTTTTGTGTTTCTGATTTCTTTTGCTCAGCATCATGTCCATGAGGTGTGTCCGTATGGTTATGTGCAGCAGTATGTTCATTCATACTCATGACTGTATACTAGCATTCTACTGTGTGACTTTACCACAAATTACATATCCATCCTACGGTGAATAGACCATTGAATTGATGCCAGTTTGAAGCTATCACAAACAGCACTGTTAGAAACATTCTATACCCAGGAGTGGAATTGTTGTGTCATAGGTTATGCATGTGTTTAGCTTTAGTAGGTACTGCCAGTTTTGCAAAAGGTTATATACCAACTTACATGCCCCAAAAAGTTCATGAGAGTTCCAGTTGCTGTATATTTTCGCCAACATTTGATCTTGTCAGACACTTTAAAAAAAATTTTTTTTTTTTTGAGAGAGAAGGGAAGGGAGAAACATTGATTTGTTGTTCCACTCATCCATGCATTCATTGGTTGATTCCTGTATGTGCCCTGGACCAGGGATCAAATTGGCAACCTCGGCACATAAGGACAACACTCTAACCAACTACCCAGCCAAGGCTTGTCAGACACTTTCATTTTAGCCTTTCTGGTAAGCATCTTTGTAAATTTATACTTAATATTTTTCTTATTCCCTATTAGCTCTAAGTGTTACAGTTTTCCGGGATTTAGGTATTACAATTATTAATGGTATACAACTGATCAAAACAATACTTGTCTCCCCCCAACCCCTGCCCATGCTTCAGACACTCCTTTAGACCGCTCATTATTGTATTGGAAACAATGGGTAGTGAAAGGGGATTCTTAGAGTGGGTCTTTTCTGTATTATTCTGTGTCTCCAAAGCTTTCACACAGTAGGTACAAAATAAATATTGTATAAATACATGAGTAGATGATATGAAAGCTTAGTTGTCTCCACCACACTTTGTGAGCCAACCCCGACCACTGGAGGGTATGCAAGTAGGTATCTTCTCATTTCAGGTCTTAGACCCAGTACAAGGAAATCCTTTAATAAACAATGTCTACCAAACCAAAATGCCTTCTAAAGAACTGCCTCCTGCCCTGCCCTGCCTCATATAGCTTCAGGCCTTTGAGCCTGGACACATGCGATGATTATAGTCATATTGTTACATCCCTAAGACTATATTCATTATATATTGCATGTTATTACACTATTATAGCAGGTGGCAGATCTTGGCATACTGGGCAGGGATGTGTTGGTGTGAAATCTCTTTTTTAAAAAAGATTTTATTTATATATTTTTAGAGAGAGAGGAAGGGAGGGAGAAAGAGAGGTATAGAAACATTGATGTGAGAGAGAAACATCAATTGGTTACCTCCTGCATGCACCCCAACTAGGGACTGAACCCCCAACCAAGGCATGTGCCCTGGCCAGGAACCAAACTGGCGACCTCTTGCTTTGTGGGACAACACCCAACACACTGGTAAGGGCTGAAATCTCACTTTAAATGAGGCTCCAGATACCCAATCTGCTATGGGTCATGGGCATAGAAAATATACAGCTCTGCGGCTGAGTCCAGAGTTTTCCCTTGCATTGTCCCCTCTGATCCTTCCTCCCTTTCAGTTTTGCAGACTAGCTGTAAATTGGGTCATAATGGCACCCCCTTCATAGGGTCATTGTGAGGATTAAAGAAGTTAATATATGTAAAGTGCTTAGCCCAATGTCTGGCATACAACAAAGTGTAGGGTAAGTGGTAGCCCTTTTATATATAATATACATGTAACATAAAATAATATATATTATATAATATACTATATATCATAATGTATCATATATAATAAATATTACCTATATTATATTATATATATATATATATCTTATAGTCTATTTTTATGTGTTGAAAGTTTTCCATAACAAAAAATGTTTCTTAAAGAAAGTTATAAATAACCTAAAGCCTGTAAGGTAAAAGGTAATTTCCTGATCTTTGACTAGAAAGTACCCTAAATGCAATAAAACCTGAGCACATCCAGAAGGGAAGTAAGGTGAGGGTATGGCATTGGTCTGGATTTAGTCGGTCAACAAGCAGGATCCACAGGTGCTCTCCAGGGACAGAGTGGCAGTGACAGCTCTTGAGCTTTGAGATAAATGTTGTTTCAGCAGAAGGTGGAGAGGCATTCATATGAAGGTTCTTTGACTGTTGGTGAGTCTGCACCCAGCATGTAGATTAGCACTGGGTCTCTGGCCCCAGCCTGACCTTTAGCCCAAGGTAAAGTGTGCTTCCCCAAGTCTCTGAATATAGGTGGCTTGACCGCCCTCTGGGGCTGGAGGGCCTCCCTCCCTTCCTTGGGTTCAGGTCTCCATCACCCAGCACACAGCTGTGACATCTGACACATTTTATCAACTACCCCAAGCTCTCTTCTGACCACTAGCCTCGATACACTGGCCAATTCCCAACCCTGCTTGAAGGTGACATTTTAGAGGCCTTCAGGTTAACAACAGCCAAAATAGGGACACTGTTCAATGCAGGTCAAGGCAGGGCTTCTGGGCAGCCTAGTTTAAAAAGTGTCTGAATGCTTCCTACACACCTTACCTAACGGTATCTCCCACACTTTCGGGGAAACATACTTCACCTTGGGTTAAAGGCTGGGCTGGGGCCAGAGGCCCAGAGCCATCTGATGCACTGGTCACTGTGGCTTGAAATTCCACCATTTAAACAGCATTCTTTGGGGTTACATATTACTTTATTGAGAAACTTTTTTCCAAAGATACCCTGGGAGGGGAATGCATTAAAACTAGTACCTCAGTGCCCTGGCTGGTGTGGCTCAGTTGGTTGGAGCATCATCTCCTGCTCTGCAAGGTTGCAGGTTAGATTCCCAGTTAGGGCACATACCTAGGTTGTGGGTTCACTCCCCCGTTGAGGTGCATGTGGGAGGCAACTGATCAACGTTTCTCTCATATAGATGTTTCTCTCTCCCTTCCTCTCTCTCTAAAAGCAATGGAAAAAAAAAAGTCCTTGGGTGAAGGTAATTAAAAAAAAAAACAAAAACAAACCTAGTACCTGTGCATGAATTGTTTACTGACTGACCTGGGTACCTGGGAGGGTGAAGCAGAGACTAGATTAAGAGTAAGGGTGATGGAGAGATGTACAAACAGCTTGGGTAGGGACCTCTCTTAGTTTCAGCATGCAAATTATTGGGATCAGAGTGAGGGCTGAAGAGAAGTTCAGAGGTAGAGGTAGAGGTTATTAAAGGTCGAGGTTGCCGGAGTCCCCTGGAGCAGTGCAAAGAAAGTCTGCAGCAACCAAAGCCCGGTGCAGAACCCTGAAGACTGACAGCTTGGGGGTGGGCCACAGTGACACTCCCCATCTCTCCAGGGTTCAAGTTCCTGCCCCTTGCAGAGTACTAAAATGGAATCAGCTCCAGAGGCTCCTTGCTTGCCCCGTGTCCTGTGATGGCTTCCTGAAAAGAACTCGCAAGGATACCCCGAATCCATCTGGCTGCTGGAGGGCACCCCAGCCCTCACCCTGCACAGTTGCCTCAGTGGATATGCCTTCTTCCCCAATCCCTAATTCTCCAATACACAGGATAAAGTACAGGGCAAATATAAAGGGTAGCAGCAGGGTCCAAGTCTGCCTCTACTGGGATAGCCAAGTGCTCCTGCCCTTCTAATTTGAGCAGTGATAATAGCATGTTTCCCACCCTTAGTAAATGCCAGGAACCATTCTAAGATTTATATAAACTCATTTAATCCTCACAACACTAGGAGAAATATATATATACTTATTTATTTACTTATTATTTTTTACTATTCATCCCCCTTTCACAGATAAGAAAACAGAGGCACAGAGGTTAACACCTTGCCCAAGAGCACAGAGTGATGAGAGGCAGAGCGGGATTCAGGCCTAGGCTACCCTATACTGCAGAGTTGCACCCTTACCAATTGGGCACTCTGCCTATCCTGCCATCATCTCTACTAGGGTGGGCAGGGGAGAGGTGGGAGAAGCATTTAGTGGCCACCTGCTCTGGGCCAGGCAGTTGACAAACACCTGTATGCTTCAATCTCATTAGAACCCAGTGAAGGATGAGCCATGCTACAGCCCATGTGGGGCAGCAAGACCAAAGAAGTCTTCCCAGGCAACACAGCACAGGAAGGGGTGAAGCTGAAGTTCAAACTTCAACCTGAACTCTGCCCAGAAGGTCCCCGTCCCAACCCAAAGGGCCCCTCCCAAGTCTACAGGGGAATGGGGACCAGAGAAAGGGAAAGAGGAGAAGGGGGTGAGCAAACTGGAAAGGGGGCTTAGGGGGTATTCTGAGGCCTAGCAGCTGTCTCAGGCTTCCCAGGGACCCAGAGGAACCTCCAGACCTCTTCCCCACCCTTGCCTGGCATGCGTGGAGGACCAGAAGCAGCTCTGGTGTTCTCTCGGGTGCTCTCGAGGACAACGGCCTCAGGCTGGGCTGCTGGGGGCCAGGAGTGAGGACGTGTGGATCCCCCTTCCTGGACAGTCGCTGTCAGCTGCCAGGGACCAGGACAGGACTGGGGTTGGGGTTGGGGTGTTGCAAACCCCCTGCACTCTTCAGCAGCACCTCCTGATTCATGGGCTTGGGCAAACAGAAAGCAAGCCTGGATGGAGGCACCTCCTCCAGAGGACGAGGGCGACAACCCAGATTGCCAGGTGGCAGGTCTGGAGAGCATGGGGCAGCCCTGAGCCCAGAAAGCTAAGGACGGTAGGGGAGTTGCAAGGCACACCAGCTGGGATGGAAATGTTGCCTGCTAGGACTCAGTTGGCAATGGCACAGCCTCCACACAGGGCTGCAGGCCCGAGTCCCCTCTGATCCAGCCTCTGCCATCCCCAAGAAAGGGACAAGGTGGGTGGGACCAGCTCCCCGGCTCAGGCCAAACGTATGGAGGGGAAGGGAGCAGACACATGGCTGGGAGAGCAGAGGGGCCTCACGGGAGCAGGCGCCGCCGGTGCAGCACAGCCAGGAGCATGGCCAGGAGCACCCCAGCAGCAGCAGCCGCCGCCCTGGGCCATGAAGCCCATGGAGCCCATGGAGCCCTTGGCACCAGGGTCCTATCAAGCTGGAACTCCTCTTCCTCCTCTACCCTGAGCTGGGGGGCAGCACGCAGCTCAGAATTGCCTGCCAGGAGGTCAACGCTGGGACCCTCAGCCACATGGATGCTCAGGTTATTCACTGACACATACTCATTCTCCACTGGGCCATTGTCAGGTTTTGGGTCCGAGTCGTAGCTAATGGCAAGGTCCGCAGAGCAGCCGGAGAATGGCTGGCTATCCTGGGAAGACAGCCTGCCTGGTTTGCTCAGCTGTGGCCCTGAGTACCAGCTGTCAGAGCTTCTGTCTGCACGGGATGTGCTGCCTCCAGCAGAGGCACCTGTGGGCGCTGGAGACACTGGTGTGTCCTGGTTTAAAAAAAAAAAAAAAATTAAAGGAGAGGGTGGAAAGGACTGGGGATGACAGAGGGCCAAGCCAGGTTGGGCGGCCCCCTTCCTAGGCCAGGGCATGAACTAGCACCCCAACCTCGTAATTCCCAGCCCATCGTGCCTATGAGGCCACCCTCTCTCAGGGAGTCAACCCACCGATAGCGCAGGAAGGCAGGCTATACGAGGAAGGCCCAGGCACTGCAGCAGCATTGGTGGGGACCTCCAGGGCAGCCCTGTCCCTGCTCACTGGCCTGCCTGTGAATTCAGCCCCATCCCTGGAAGCCCTTGGTGGAGTGTGGCCTCATCCTGCATCAACATTCCGCCTGGGCTCGGGGACCATGGAGTAGCCAGCCATAGGGTCAGCGGCCTGGCCGTGCACCCAAGAGGCTCTGTGGGTTCAGCTCCCCTGGGCAGACAGCAGCTGGAGGGTGGTATGTGCAAGCTGGCACGGGGGGAAGCTGGGGCAGGGCTGCTGAGTCAGAGCAGCTGCCCAGGCTGGATGGGCTGGGACTGCTATCAGGAAAACCCTGGTCATGGAGAGCCAGAGCTAAGTGTCAAGGCCGACAGGCCATCCTGCCCTATCCCTCACTGCTTCCTCTTCTGCAAAAGGGAACTACCAAGCTTACCAGGGAGCTGTGAAATCTAAATGGATTAATGCATGCGACCAGCTGGGGGTGGCCCACCACACCTGACTCTCCTGAGGCATCCACACTTAAGAGCTCTAATGATTATTATGACTGTGAAGGACGTGGTGTGGGGTCTGGATAAGGCTGCTTCTCAGCTGTCCCTATAGCCTTCAAAAAGGCCCTGGACCAGCCTAGGCTGGAGAAAGAATGGAGACAGGGAAGGGTCGAAGGACAGGGCTAGGGAAGGGGCCTGGATCACTGTAAGGAGTAACGACTCACCTGTGTGTGTCTGTTGCTGCTCCTGACGGCGGGTGCTGTATTGGCAGGCACCTTGCTGGGCACTGAGCTTGTGGGCATCCTGTGGTCAGGCACCAAGGGAGTAGGTACCTTGGGTGGCACTGTGCCAGCATGTATTGTGTTCTTAGGCAATTTGGATGGTACAACACTAGTAGGCACATTAGTGGGAGGATTTGAGCTGGTGGGCAAGTTGGAAGGCACTGTGCTGGTACGTGCTGAGTGGAGGGGGACCTTGGAGGGTGCTAGGCTGGTGGTCATAGAGTTGGTGGGCACCCCTACCCCACTGGAACTGATGGTAGCCTCAGCCTGGTCACTAGCATCCCCCGTAGAGGAGGAGGAGGTGCCAGTAGACAGAGCTGACACTGCGGGTCCAGGCAAGCGGCTTGCCCTGGGGGTGGAACGGGCCAGGGGCTGGAAGGAGACAGTCGGTGATACGGGTCCATGAGGTGATGTAAGGCTGGAGACCATGGCTGCCGGTGGCAAAACTAAAGGGGAAACATAAACCCACAGGAAGGCTGGTATCAGAGGTCTAGAGAAGGGCCCCTCTGCCCCAGCTCACACCATCTCTATGGCATCAAGACCTCCCAGCCTCCTACCCATGGAGGAGTCTCCACAGTCCCTTTGGTCACTGCTCCCAGGCCCAAAGATCCAATAACTGCAGGCACATGCTTGGTCTTGTCTATCCTCACACCTTGACCTATAGCAACCAAGTCTGTTCTCTCACTAGAGTGAAATGGTCCATCTCTCCAACAGCCTCTAGGAGCTTGGATATCATTAAATATCTGCTTAGCTTTTTCTTCTTCTGCCTGGGAGACTCCCCTTTCCTCCTGTGTCTGCCGTTTCTATCTTTTCCCTTGCCTGGTGGAATTCTGGATACTCTTTCCACTGCCATCCTTCCTCCCCGTCCCACCCCCAGCACAAGCAATCCTGGACCAGGGCAAGGGGCAGCAGGACGGCTCAAGGAGAAGAGCTCACACCAGTCATGTGGTCCCAGAGCCCCAACCAACCCCTCATGTGTGCAAGTCTCCTAGGAGGCTAAGGCCTTGATGTGGGGGGTATGTGGGCACAAAGCCACCACCGGGAGGAGGGGCTGCCCTGGAGGAAGCAGGAAGGAGTAGGCAGTGATAGTCCATAAGGCTGTTAAATCAGGATTTTCCGTGGAACTCTGAGAATGCATATGTCAGGCCCTACAGCTGACAAAGGCCAGCCATCCTTCTGATGTTCCCCCCGCCCCGCCCCAAATATAACACCACAGAATCTTGTGGGACTTGTCCACACACGACTGAAATCGAAGTGCCCTTTGCCTCTCAGGGACACAGCAGCATTTCCTGAAAGGTATTCCATGGCAAGCTGACACTGCAAAATGCACATGGGGGCTTGGGGGAGACTTTTGAGGTGACACAAGTATAGGGCACTAAGGTGCCTTTTCTGAGCCTTTAACTACTCATGTGCCTTGTGGCTGCCCCAGCGGCACTGAGGGCTGGCTGGAAACCAGTGTCACATGGAACACAGTTTGGGAAACAGTGGTACAGAGAGATGCCAGCCTAGGGGTGGAGCAGGGGAGGTCAGAGTGGACAGCTCTATATTCCTGAGGGGAAACACTGAGGTCTGGTGTGGGGATCCAGGTCCCTGGCCGATGAAGATCATACTTCCTCTGGGGGCTGAGAAGTTTTCGTGATTCGCTGGGAGCTGGAGAATGTTTTAGGGGAAGGTAGTGCCTAGTGGCTCACCTGCCGACAGCAGGCCCAGCCCTACACCCTCCCTTCTGTACTACCCTCCAGGTGCTGGTAGATCCCTGCAGAGTCCCTTTGGTAGAGTGCAGAAGTGGCCCTAATTCTCTTTTCCTCCCTGTACCCACACCCTCTGCAATGTGACTCTGTCAGTCCTCTCATCTAAGGATGGAGTGTTTCCCTACTCCTTGACTTTGGGCTGGCCTGTGACTTGCTTTGGCCCACAGAATGAGGCCAAAGGGACACTGTGCAAGTTTTGAGCCTGTGCCCCAGGTGCCCTCTCTTTCTCAGAACTCTGCTCAGCTGCCGTGAAATGAGCTTGTTGCTGGAGGATGAGGGACTCATGGAAGAGAACCAAGGTGCCCCAGACAACAGCCACAAGAAAGCTTAAGTGTACGCTAGTGTGTACGCAAGAGGGAATTCAGCCAAGATCTGAACCAGCTGAACCAGCCCAAACTGCTGACCCACAGAATCATGAACTAAATAAATAGGCATATTTTAAGCTATTAAGTTTTGGGGACCATTCATTACGCAGCAAATGCTAACAAATACACCCTCTGAGGAAATGAGTTGTTCCCCGGGGTATACTCCCTTTATTCCCATCCTTGCCTCTTGTCCAAGGAAGCCGGAGGGGCAACTCTAACCCTCACCCTCACTTGCAGGTCAGGGAGACCCTAGAATTCCAGATTCCACACATACCTTTTGTGTGGGTATTGCCCAGTTCTGTGTCCTGCTCCTGAGGCCCACTGGGGGTCAGAGGGCTGAGGGCTGCTGTGTCAGAGGAGGGCTCCTGGGGGCCACTTGGCTTCATCACGACAGTTCCAGGCCTGGGCGTGTATGGGGCCTCCTTTGAACTCTGCAAAAGGGAAAATATGAATAAGGCAGTTGCTTTTTCCAGGAGCTGGTAGAGGCCAGTTTATGCTCATGGGGCAGCTTCTATAGACCTCGGCTCACATCACGGAGCACATGAAACAAGGAAGCTACTGTCTTGGCTTTAGTCACTGCCAGGCCCTCTGTCTACAGGTGACTTTCAACCCCCCTCATAGAAAACACACACACCATCCCCTGGGGAGTCCTGATCTAACTGCCTGGCCCTATAGAAAGGACCCCCCTGTAAGGCCACTGTATAGACCCCTTTCTGGGGCTTCATGTCCACAGTTTTGTCTCTCGGGCACCCACTGCCCATTCACCATATCTCAATAGAATCAGTCATCTTTTCCCGAAACTTGACTTTACTGGCAATAATTAGAGCTCCACCATCTACCCGACCACCCCATCACCTTCTAGTCCCTCCCTCCTCTGCATCTGGTCAACCACTGGTCCCCAACATCTCATATGTACCACTGCAAAGACCTCAAGAGGACTGAGGTGTCACAGAGTGAAGCCCTGGTCAACAGTCTGGGGGCTGGTCTGGGGCGGATCCCCACTTGGGGAGCCCTGGGGTTCAGGGTTCTGAGCAGAAATTGGGCACAGTTTGTGGGGTGCAGGAGAGGGCTTCTGGAAGGCTGGGTGAGCAGGTAACACAAAGGCCCAGGGCAGAAGGTAGACCATGAAGACGCACCTCTCCCAGGGACGCTGGCGACTGGCTGTCCTGGACAGGCATGGGGTAACTTGGCTCCTCGTCGTAGCTGTCATTTGAGGCGCTGGGGGCCACAGCAGGCCTGGGGCGCCCTGGAGCCCTGGCAGAAGCTGATGGCGGCTCTGATGAGGCTGGGGGGCGTCTTTGGTTCACTGGAGGACAAAGATAGAGTGATGCCCAGGAGGAATCAGGTGTTCCCAGGGATAGGAGAGGCCTGGGTGCTCTCAGACTGACCCTCAGGGCCATGGCCGTCGGAATTCCCACAGCTCCGAAAGCTGTCCTGATACACAACGCACTTCCCAGAGGGGACAAGCTTCACTTGGCAGGAGGCAGACGTGGGAGGGAGGCAGGGGTCGGGGAGGACAGGGTGAGGAAGGCAGAATGAGGCGGAAGGGGACAGTGGGGTGCCTCACTGGCCTCTCACCACCCAGCAGTTACTGGCTTCTCTGTCCCCAGGCGTTCTGGTACCCAGTGACTTTCTCTTCCTCGTGGGTGGTAGTCACCACCAACTGACCCCTGACCCGATGCTGCCTCTTCCTCAGCCCTTCCCCTGTATTCCCACCACTCCCCTCTGGTCTCGCCACAGCCATTTGTATTTAGGGAATCACTGTTAACATCTACAAATGAAGATACACATTTGAGAGGAAGGGAGGGAGGGAAGGATAGAAGGCAGAAGACGATGGAGGACAAATGGGGATATTCTAAGGCTATAAAGCTAGGCAGAGCTTCACGAGTGGTCTCTAATCTGAAATACAAATAGGGCCAGCTTGTGTTTCCTTCCTGCCTGGGTTCCTCAGACCCTGACCTCACAAAACCCCCCAGGGGCATTTGGTCTGGCTGGGAGTACCAAGTGGAGCTAAAGGGTAACTGGGGTGGGGAACCTAGAAGCCTCTAAGGGAAACCAGTGGATGGGAAGAGATGAGGGGAAAAGAAAGAAACCCATGAGGGAGAAAGAGGAGGCTGTAAAGGGAGGGAAAGAGGGAATAGAAAGAAGGCAAACTGAGGGAGGAGGAAGTGAGAAGTGGGAGGCAAACGTCACAGCCACAGAAATGAGCGGAGGCTCAACGTGCTTAGCACAGGAGGTGCTCAGCCCCACCTAAGCCCTAGACATGCTGACATCCCCTGGTATCCACAGCAGCTCCATGAGGCAGGTCAGCCCTGTTTTACAGACAGAAGACTGAGACTCAGGGAGATCAAGGGACTTGGCCAGAGGGACACAGCTAATTGGTAGCTAAGCTGAGATCTAAACCCAGGCTTGTCTACTGACCAGGAGTGATAGGAGGCAGGGTGACAGAGGGAGGGAAGCGGTAGAGAGGTGAGGGGACAGGGAGAGTGGAGGCCAGGGGAACTGAAAGGAGTTCCAAGAGAAGGCCCAGGGCAGGAGGCTTACAGGGCAGGTTGCTCTGGTAGACACGGGCCACTTCATCAGCAAGGTTAGCCAGCTCACAGTCCCTGAGTGCCTGGATGAGGGACTCCACCCAGCCACTCCGCCGCTTAAGGCTGTTGAAGAGTTCCCAAATGGTGTTCCGGTTCCCTCTGTGATTGTAGTGGGCCCGCAGGAGATCCTGAAAGAGACAGCCCATGGCCCTGCTCAAGCCAGGTGGCCCTGGCCCTTTCCCCACTCCAGAGGGGACAGCTGCAGAGAGGGGGGCAGCCATGTGAAACTGGGCCAGAGCCCAGGGCAAGGCTAGGGTCTGAGTACAAGTTTAAAGACAGCTACCAGGAAAGAGGCTCTTACTGTGTCCTGGGGTTCTCTAGCTCAGGGTTTTGGATGAATTATCTTATTTAATGCACTTATTCCTACTCTGCTGATGAAGAAACTGAGACTCTCCAGACGTAAGGCAGCAAAGATCCCACCAGCAGTGGGGCAGGTATCTGAACCCAGCTGGTCTGATGCCAAAGCCTGTTTGTTTATACAGCTTCCAAGGCAAAAAGGTTTAGATTAGCAGAAGAGGAAAACGTGTGTAGGAAACCGCAGATGAAGAAGGACATAATGGAAAAGAGAGGAGGCCAACAGTGAGAACCAGGGAAGGTGAGGGACTGGGGAGACTCTGGGACAAGCAGCTGCAGAGTTTTAAAACCCACCTGAATTCCCACATGCAAACAAGCAATGACACAGCACACACAAAAATCCACAGGAAACATTTACTGAAAAACAAGGTAACAAGCCCTGGCTGGTGTGGCTCAGTGGACTGAGTGCCGGCCTGCAAACCAAAAGGTCGCCTGTTTGATTCCCAGTCAGAGGACATGCCTGGGCTGTGGGCCAGGTCCCCAGATGAGGGTGTGTTAGGGGTATGCAAGAGGCAACCTATCGATGTATCTCTCACACATCGATGTTTCCCTCCCTCTCTTTCTCTTTCCTCTCTCTTCTCTCTAAAAATAAATAAGTAAAATCTTAAAAAAAAAAAAAAAAAGGTAACGAGGTATCCCCATAAACTATAAGAGGGAGGGCCAAACTCCATCAGCTACAGACTGGTGCTACCAGCATCTGTGGGGAAGAATCAGAGAACAAGGGGGTTCAATCTAAGAAGAGCGAAAACTGGGAAGGGTCTGGCCCACTTCACTAGGGGCCCCCAGCTGGTTCTGAGGGGGATAAGGTGGTCTGGTAGTAATAAACTCTCCAAGCTGAGCCTTGGGCTTGGTACCAGAGCAGTGTCCCATGAGGAGAACGGAATCTAAACGGAGCCAGCACAAAGACAAGAGATAAAGAAAAAGACGGTTCTGATAAAGTTGGTAAGGGGCCCAGAGCCTGAAAATTTCAGGCAGCCAAGTGCCATATTGTTGAGCACTACACCAAAACGACACCAGAGGGAGCTCAGGAAAGTAGGAAAGGCCACCCTGAACCACACTTCATTCTGAAAGTTAGAAAAGGCACAAGGACAGGAAGCCGGATACGCAAGGAAGGAAGGAGTTGGTTTTGGCTTGGGTCAAACTCTGAGCTCCACAGCCCTGCCCCCAGTCTGGCTGGCTGTCATGCCCTGGCTCACCTGGTCACTTGCTGTGAGGCAAGACAAGTGAGGCAGAATCTCCAGAACATGAATATGGTAAAAATTGCGGAAATGGTGGCGGATATACTCATAAGTCTGGTCCTCAGCAACCGTCATCACTGTTCAGGTTCTGAAGTGATAGAGGGCTCTGGCCCGTGGGAGGTCTCTGTGTGCCCCTAGCCGCTGATAGCAAGAGGGCTCCACCCAGAAGTGCTGTTCCTTTGAAGTACACTGGGGAAAAAAAGAAGCAAGAGCCCAACATGATAATAATAGGATCCATCCTACTCAAAAGGTAAAGAAAATAAAGTATTAAGAAAAGAAGGGGGTTTGTTCATTAGTGGAAGAGCAAAGAATTGCGGTCTTCAGGATTCAGGATCAGGTTCCTTCCGGGACATTACTGCAGGCTCGCCATTTAAAGCTTGCTACATACATGTTCTTAGGTCAGAAGGCTGAGCTCCACTGCCCTAAACTCAACTGTTGACCTGGAGCAAGTTACCAGTCTTATCCTCACCCCTGAAATGGCTCAGAGAGCTTGTTTTGACAATACGGTTCTGCCTTATAAGCTTGAAATTTACAAGTGCCTCAAATACTAGCAGTTACTGCCTGTTGCTTTTATAGCACTTACCACCATTTGCAATTATGGACGCATTCATTTGTTTCTTATTTGCTTCACCCCTGAGGAAAGCTGCAGGGAATGAGACAAGATCTCTGCCTTCATCCAAATGACATTCTATTTTGTGGGATAGATAGTAAATTAGTAAACATATACATAAATAAGAATCCCAGATAGTAATAAAGGTTACAAAGAAAATAAAGCAGGGTCATGAAACAGCCCATGCAGAGGTGCACGCTGCTTGAACTGGGATAGTCCGAGAAGCCTTTCTGAACTGGCCACATTTGAGCTGAGCCGTTCTTGCCTGTGAGATCGGTGTTTCTGGCAGAGGACACAGCAAGTGAAAAGTTCCAAGGTAGGAACAAGTTTGACATGTTTAAAGAATAGAAATATGGGCCAGGTTTAGAAAGCTAGGGGGAAGGGCAGTGATCAAGGTCAAGGAGGTTGGAAAGGACTCACATATGTGTTATAGGAAAGGATGCTGAGTTTTATTTGGAGTGAAACAGGGAGCCATTGGAGGGTTCTGGGCAGGGAAAGAAGAGGATTTGATTTATGTTAAAGACCTCTCTGATGGTTGTGAGGACCCTGGATGGTGGAGGGGCCAGGATGGAAGCAGGGAGACAAGTCAGGAGGCCACAGCAGGGGACAAACACATGATGGGTATGGCTGGAATGGTAACCATGGAGGTGGCAAGGGATGGTTGGATTCCTGGTGTTTTGTGGAGTTGGGAGGTGAGGAAGAGAGAAGAACCAGGGATGACTCCTTGGGTGCGGGGCGGATGGATGGTGTTTAGCCAGCTGAGGAATTCAGGGGGAGGAGCAATGTCAGGAGACTCCAGGGCTCCATTCTTAACAAGTGAATGTTTTGGATGTCCAAATGGGTTTTCAGGGAGGGAAGGGACAAAGGAGAAGATCAGGCTGGAGTGGAAACATGGGTGGCAGGCTTGAGTGAGACGTCTGGGAGACAGTGCTTCAGAGCAGAGCGTGGCCCCCAAAGCTGCTGAGGGCACCAGTTCATCACATGGGAAACAGGGCAGCAGTCCTGCCTACCAGTCTCACTGCCTACCACCTTCACATTGCAGGGCTTGCTTCCCCAACCAACCAGGTGCTACATTCCTGGTGGGGCAAGTGATAATGACAGAGGACAAGAGGATCAGGGAGGTAGGGCAGGGGTCCTCAGAGGCTTCAGGAGATGAGCAAAGAATATCTCTGGTACCTAATAGACCCATTTCTCCTTCCCTCCCATGCCATCCATGAAGGTACCAGGTAAAAGGTGATACATTCTTCTGAATCCCAGCCTCAGCCCTTAAGACTCAGAGTTTGGGGGATATGGCTTTATGATATGTATGGTCCCACCAAAAAGAAAGGAAGCCCATATTTTTCACATTTATTGAGGATCCACTATAGGCAGGTACATCCTAAATTTCTTCCATTTAATCCTTGCCACAATCCCATGAGAGGAGAAGCGATGCTAAGTTACACAGCTGACCAGCGGCCTTGACAGGATTTGAACCTAGGGCTGACTTCCTGCCTCACTGCAGCTCACCATATACTGCGCAGGGCACAGAGGCCCTACAGCCGCTGAGATTCACACAGTCCCCACAGTCTCCTGCCTTCTAGCTCAGGGAGGAGCCAAGGTCACTGCCTGAGTTGGGGGCTCGGGGTGTGGTGCTAGGTAAGAGTATGCCTTGGTGGATGCAACATTTAGTCTCTTCTCTGGTGAAAAATGGCAATCTTTCAGAAAGGTCGCTGACTCTCCTTCCTAAAGTTTTTGAGGCTCCACAGCATCTCTATGGAGAACGTCGTTCTGGGTTGGTGTTTTTCCCAATGTTTTCCGGGCACCTCTTCAGGTCTCAGAGAAAATGGGCGGCGCAGTGGGCCGGCTGCCCTAGAGCTCTGAGGGAGTTGAAGAATGAAATATCCATCCGCACGGGAGAGACCAGGCCTCACAGCCCCGGCTCAGATTCCTGGATTCTTGGGCCAGATCCAGGACCGCGGTGGGAGGCTGCTCTTCTGAGTAGCTGTCGCCACCGAAAAATGTCAAGACCTAGAGAAGGGGGGTAACCCTCGACTCCCAAGTGCTGCCTCAGCCTCCTGAGGTCGGTGCACCCGGAGTAGGCCTCTCCCCGGGGTCACGCAGGGCCTGCGGGCGGATGGGGGCGCTCAGGATTCGGCGCAGTCTCCTTCCGACCTAAACCCCTACAGCCCGAGCAGACGCCCCGCGCCACCCACCTCCCGACCCCCCCGGAGCTGGGTGCGGCGCGTGGAGCCCTCGATGCCCCAGTCCCCACGAGCCCTGTCTCCTCCTCCGCCCCTCGCGTGCCCCACACCCCGTGCACCCCCGCAGACTGCGAGTCCCACTTGGCTCCTGCCTCCGCGGGCCGCCTCCCCGAAAGGCTTCTGTGCGGCCTGATCTCAAAGGACTGAGTGCGCGGGGCGGCGATCTTACCTCGGGTAGCCGCGACCCGGCGACCGGCGGACAGCCAACGACAGCCAGCGACCGCCACCTACAACCCGGAACCCAACCCGCAAGGAGGGAGGGGCCGGGCCAGGGCCGCGGGGCCACTGGGCAGACGACAGGGGCGGGACTTTGCGGCTGGCGAGGGCAGCTGGGCAGCAGGGGCGGGCGCTTGGCCTGGGATTAGGGGACTGGATCCGCTGGATCCTCGCTCCGGACTGACCTAGGTTCTTGCAGGGACCCGAAGTTGCCCCCCGCCCCCCGCTCACCTTGTTCCTTTCCAGCAACGTTTTGGGGAAGTCCAGGGTCTGGCTGGAAACCAAGTGGGCGGCAGACCTCAAAGTCTGTGACCAGCTCGGTTCCCACCCTTCCTCGCGAAGCGACGCCTCGTCTCGCAAAGTAATTTAAGGGGTGAAAGGCTTTGTGTCGTTCAATCTTGGGCGCCTGGGGCCTGGCACACAGTGCTCAATAAACGTCGGGTGACTCGCGAAGTGTCCAGGGCGCGAATGCCCAGCCAGACAAGGGCGCAGGCTGGGCCTGAGGAAGCAGGACCTGGAGGCAGGGCGCGAGCGGCGAGGTTGGCGGGCCCGCACCCGGAGCGTGGGCCTGGAGCGCCGTGCGGGAAAGATTTCGCCCCCGCGGGTCCCGCCCCTCAGTGCCTGCCAGCGGCCCTGCCCTTCCTCTGACGGGGCAGAGGACACTCGCCGGGGCAGAGGCCAGCACTTTCGAGCGCCTACTGTGTTCCAGAAACAGGCTTAAAGTCCTATCTTAGGGCCATTAAACCTCTCGCAATAACCAGGTATTTTATTTTTTCTGACTTAAAGAGAGATTTAAAGATTTGGGGAAACATTTGACAGTTCTTACTAAGATTTAAACATATACCAACTCAACAACCACTCCTAGAACAGCGATTTTCAACCTTTTTCATCTAAGGGCACACGTAAGTTAATTACTAAAATTCTGCAGCACACCAAAAGACTTTTTTTTTTTTTTTTGCTGATCTGACAAAAAATAGGTATAATTTTGAAAACGAGTATTATTTATTTATTTTTAGAGAGGGGGGAAGAGAGAAAGAGAGGGAGAGAAACTTCGAAAATGTCCGTCGGTTGCCTCTCCTACGCAATCTGCCGCAACCCACAACCCAGGTATGTGCCCTGACAGCGGAATGACACCCGCAACGCTTTGCTTTGCTTTGCTTTGCTTTGCTGAACAACGCCCAACTAACGGAGCCACACAGATCAGGGCAAAATAGGTATAATTTTGATTCATTCACACCAGACAGCTATTGTGTTGGCAGTTGTCATTTTTTTATCTGACAGTCTAAGGAAAAAGAGGTCAATGCCCCTGACTAAAGAGTCAGATATTGCATGTTTTAAAAATTCTTGCAGCACACTGGTTGAAAATCACTGATCTAGAAACATGCACAGTAGATAATGTTCATAGTGGTTTTATTTGCAACAAACAAATTCTAGAAACAACACAAAGGTCCATCACCAGGAAAATGGAGAGACAAACTCTGGTGTGCTCACATCATGGAACAGTATACAATAGTGAAAAATAACAAACTATTGATACATACAACATGGCTAAATCTCACAGGATGAATGGGCACCATGGCTAACCAAGTCAAGCACAGAGAGTAAGTACATGCTTTCTCTTCCTAGTCACAAGGTAAGGTTCAAAAACAGGCAAAACTCATCTACATAAATAGAAATTAAATCACTCGTTACCTCTGGGGATGTTGAGGGATGGGTACAAGGGAGCCTTCTGCAAGGATAGGCATAGTGTGTATCTTGATGTGAGTGTTGGGTAAATTGGCTTATGCATATGTAAAAATGCATCAGCTGTACACTTAAGATTGTTACACTTTATACTGCAACTTAAAAAAGACAGCCCTACCTGGTGTAGCTCAGTGGACCTGGGCATCCTCCTGTGAACTGAAAGCTCGCCAGTTTGATTCCTGGTCAGAGCACATGCCTGGGCTGTCGGCCAGGTCTCCAGTTGGGAGCATGCAAGAGGCAACTAATCAATGCTTCTCTCATACATCGATGTTTCTCTCCCTCTCTTTCTCCCTCCCTTTCCCTCTAAAAATAAGTAAAATATTTTTTTAAAAAACCAAAAAACAAGAAACAGACACCTGAGAGTTAAAGGTTTGGCTGAGATCACGTGCAAATGCCTGCATACCCACCTGCATACCCGTCTCCAAAGCCAGTGCTCCCAAACAATTATAGGAAGATGCCTGAATATTTTTCAGATGACATTTTATTACTTTGCTTGGTAACTTTATTACTATTTCCCAACATTCAGCATTTACAAAATGATAATATCACATCCAAACTCAACTAAGTGTAATAAAATCAGCTATGCCTTGTTTAGTTTAGCCAAGACACGGTGAAGGATGAATGGTTTGAAAATTACTCCTGCCGGCTACCCACCCCAGATCCAGTGACTTCACGTCTAATTCTTGCAAGAAGAGCATTGGAAGTGTGTTGACTTGCTTTCCAATGCAGTTGTCACTCCTGTTTTTGCTGGACCTCACAGGACATTAAAAACATATACATACAGCTTCCTCAGAAACACTGTTGAGATACTATCTTAGTTCATTTGGGATGCTATAACAAAAATACCATAGACTGGATGGCTTTAACAACAAATTTATTTCTCAGTTCTGGAGATTGGGCAGTCTAAGATCAAAGGGCTGGCAGATTCGGTGTCTGGTAAAAAGTCCAATTCCTGGTTCATATACATAGTCTTCTCGCTGTGTCCTCACATGGCAGAAGGAGCAGAGGACCTCTCTGGGGTCTTCTTTAAAAGAGCACTAATTCCATTCCTAAAGGATTCCCCTTTATGACTTAATTAATCACTCCCCAAAGACCCCACCTGCAAATACCATCACATTGGGAATTAGGCTTCAATACATGTAATGGGAGGAGGCGGATATAAACATTCAGTCTATGGCAGATATCAACCATTAAGATCGCTATTATTAAAACAAGAGGATAGAAAATGGCATGTGTTTGGGTCAAATAAAGATGGCTTTTTATGTTATCTTCTACTGTTGACTGCATCCCACCCTGTTTCCTGAGTAAAATTCACTGATTATTGTCCATTTACTGGTGGAAGGGTGAGTACAGAGAGTGATCCATACACCAGACCGTTCCTCCCGTGACAGCTTTGGAGTCCTCTCCCCAGTAAAGCTCATCCCCAGGCAGGTGGCCCATGGCTGCGGACCAGTGTTCCAAGGAAGGCTGTAGCTTACGTGGCTCCCATGAGATGACTCAGCAACCACCAGCTCATATTTCCCCAGAGGGCAAAGTCAGGCCCAACGATAGTGCCAGAGGGTCCCAAAAAGGGACATGTTCTCATGTCTGAGTCCCTTCGGGGAACTTTTCAAAACTGAAAAGCAAAATATAATCCATGCCTTTACAACCTCGTTTTAAATAAGTTTCTTAACTCTTACTCTTTAAGCTACTTTGTACTTTCATACTGTCAGTTTTATTACAAAGAAATTAATATATGCTCAGTAAAGCTGGGGGGAAATTAGTATATGCTCATATAAGGGAAAACAGACATGTTTGATGGAGAAAATAAAAATCCATACTCATAATGCCACCACCCAGGAGAAAGTGCTAGTGTTACCCTGGTGTCTTTTCTTCTAGTGTGTTCCTCTCCTCTGGCTTCCTGGAGTCCCCCTTGCCTTGACCAGCCACGTGAGATGATTCAAGTCATGATCTAGGATATGAGGGGGTCGCTGGAGCATCCCTTACCTCTCAGGGGTCCCAGGAAGAGGGCTTGGGCCATGTCAGTTCATGGATCAGTCCCTGCTGCATCCAGCTTCTCCAGAACTGTCCATCTCCTGTGGTCAGTATGGTCTCCTTATCAGCCTCAGGACAATGTGTTGCTGGTCACCTGCCACTCAAGGGCTGCCATTCTACTGTTCTTTCCTGAGAACACTGACATAAGTTGCTTGGCAACAGACATTTAAATGGGGGTGGGTGGGAAACGGAAATGAATGCATGGACAGGACATGCCCTTGAAGTTAGATATCAGAATTCTTAAAATTCACAGACTTCCTCCAATGCAGACTTTTCCCTGGCCACATCCCTCCTTAGCCCCAGCTTCCTACCACACTGCTGGTGCCCTGCTTGCTTTCAGCCTTTCTTGCTCTCTCTTGTCCTAGGGCTCCTCCCCCAGAATCTGGAGCTCAGCACACAAAACAGAAACCACTGTAGGTATTTTGTGCATGACAGGGTTTTTTATTTTTTCAAATTTCAAGAAAAAGTTTATTTGGAAAGTTACAGAGGTAGTAGAAGTGAGCCAGCTGGGCTGTGTAGGCTCAGAAAACAAGTTACAGAGGCAGAAGGAGGGCCCCTGAAACTTAGGGCGGTTCAATTGGTTGGAGTGTCGTCCTGTACATCAAAAGGTTTAGAGTTTGCTTGGTTAGGGTGCATACATGAGGCAACCAATGGATATTTTGCTCTCACATCAATGGTTCTCTTTCTCTCTCTACCTCTCTCTCAAATCAATAAAAACATTCTCAGATGAGGATTAAAAAAAAAAGGTAACCCGTCTGATGGTGAAGAGGAGGTGGAAGGGAAAGAGAAAAGGCACAAGAGGGAGCAGGAGAGATAGCATGCCAGGGAAACACATCAATCCTAAGTGTGTGAGTTGATTAATTCTTATCCAAGTAAATACTTATGTGAGCGGCACCTACATCAAGATCTGGAATATTTCCATCTCCCCAGAAAGTTCCTTTGTAATCCTTGTTCATCGATCTCTACCCTCAATCATTATTCTGATTTCATCACCATGGGTTAGTTTTGCCTGTTCTTGAATTTAATATAAATGGAATCAGATAATGTATACTCTTTTATGTCTGGCATCTTTCACTCAACATGCTTTTGACATCCATGTATGTTGTTGCAAGTATCAGGAATTTGTTCTTTCATTGTTGAGTAGTAGTTCATTATATGAATGTATCACAGTTTGCTTATTCATTCTATATTTTAATGGAATACTGGGGCTTTTCCAGGTTTGGGCTACTAGGAATAAGACTGCTATCAATATTCACGTGTAAGTCTTTTTTGGAGTTATTTTTAAATTGCTGCACGATAGGGTAGGGCATGCTTAGCTTTATTAGAAGCTTCCAACATTTCTGCAAAGTGGTTGTACCACTTTACACTCCCATCAGCAGTATATTGACAGTTCCAGGTGCTACACAGTCCAGTTCTCTTCTTCACCAACACTTGACATGGGCAGTTTTTTCACAGGAATCACTTTAATACGTATCCAAGGATATGTTTATTGATTTTAGAAAGGAAGAGGGAGAGAGAAAGAGAGACTTCAAGGTGAGAGAGAAACATCAATAGGTCAGTTGCCTCCCATATGTGCCCCAACTCGCAACCTAGGTGCCCTGACTGGGAATCCAACCTACAACCTTCTGGTATATGGGACAACACTCCAACCAATCGAGCAACCTGGCCAGGATGAACAGAAAGGAAGTTAATAGAGAAAATTCATTGGTTGCAAAATTGTGAGGGGGGCTGGAAGAGCCAGTCAGGAGACTGCCACCACGCAGCTGACTTTAAGAGCACATCATTATAATCAAGGTCAGAAGCCAAGGGGCCACCGCTGCCCCGCCCAGTTCCACATGGC